AGCAGATACTCAACAAGAACAGTCTTCAGCAGCGACAAACAAACACACACACACACACAGACGGGTACAAGTGCCATCTGTCTGCTCATTCTCTCTCCTCTCTTTGGTGCTATGGCGCCATATCTCAAATGGTCGTAAATCTTTGACCATTCATCAAAACCTACTACCATCTCCCCTTTCTCAGACCATCTCCGCTCGTAATACGATGATGTCCAACCACCGGGTCTGCCTCTATCTCCTCTGGAATGGATCTTCCCTCCCCCCGCAAACTGTACATGCTTAAAATACCCATCGAAGCTTCTTCTTTTGATCAAGTGCCAACAAAATCGAACTGACACTTGTTCCCTGGGCTCATTAGCAGCAGCAGCCAAAGGATGACGCGTCTTTGAAGTGCAAGCAAGCCAGTCTATCAGTTTTCTATCTTATCACCATCACCGCCGCCAAATTGTACATTCATCACCCCCTCCTCTCCTCTGCTCTGCTCCTTATCAGCGCTGGTGTTGTTTTACAGTTTTCTTCGCTCTTCGAGCTCTTCAAGCTCTTCGCCCAGAGCTCGGGCTCAAAGTGAGCACAGATACACACACACACACACACACACACACACACACACACACACACACACACACACACACACACACACACACACACACACACACACACACACACACACACACACACACACACACACACACACACACACACACACACACACACACACACACACACACACACACACACACACACACACACACACACACACACACACACACACACACACACACACACACACACACACACACACACACACACACACACACACACACACACACACACACACACACACACACACACACACACACACACACACACACACACACACACACACACACACACACACACACACACACACACACACACACACACACACACACACACACACACACACACACACACACACACACACACACACACACACACACACACACACACACACACACACACACACACACACACACACACACACACACACACACACACACACACACACACACACACACACACACACACACACACACACACACACACACACACACACACACAGCCACAAATCAGTGAGCTTTGAAAGACTTCGAACTGGCTGATTGGTCTGCACCGGTTTCACTATCTCTTCACCTATCTCTTCTCTTCAACTTTGGCAAAGCGTTGACACAGACAGATGTACTGTCGCCGTATTTGGCCCCTGTGCCAAAATGAAATGAAAATATGCTTGGAGAGAGGTATGTGCCATTTCTGTGGTGGTTTGTGTATACACAATGCTGAAATGTGCCCAGAAAATGACAACAGAAGTGCGGTGTTGTCACATGTCCGGCAATGCTGTACGGTAGACGCGTCATACAAAAGCTCACATTTCAGGGTCAAATGTCGCCACCAGATACGTGAGAAGTGGAAGACCATCTCTCTCCACTAAAACATGGGTACTCCACAGTTGAAAACCCCCCTCTCCTATCTCCTTTCCTCCCCTAGTCTTCGATCATACCACATCGATTGAGTTCTACTATCTTCGGCTTCGATGATACTCGAATTCGATACCGATTGGCCAGTGTTCCTATCATCAGTGTTCAGTTGAACACGCCACAGTCGACGTCAAATAATCAGACGACGAACATGACTTGCCCCCTCTTCACCAACTAATCACCACTTGTAATCTAGTAGCTCCGTAGAAGAAAGTGTCACCGGTTAGACCTGAGCCTCGATTCGATTCACCGCCACCACCACCTCCACCATTCATTTTACTCTGCTCTGGAACATTTTAGAGGCGGTGAACACCATCACCAGCTGCAGCAGCATGTGCTGGCCAGCGGATGCACAGAGAGTGCAGAGTCTACCACCACTTCTGTTTGGCTTGGCGATAAAGCTGCCAAAAGTCTGAGCTGGAGTGATAAGCAAAGCTGAAGCCGAAGAAGAGGAGGAAGAGTTCTCAACAGAACAGATTCGAAAAAAGTGATTTAGTATAAAAAGCCTGGATCACCCTCAACTTCTGTCACCTTCTCTCCCTGACTCACTTTCATCAACTTCAACCTCAACCTCACCTCCTCACTCAGCATCACCATGGGTTCCAACGCCGTCGACTCCAACGAGTACCAGAAGTTCCTCGACCAGGTGCAGTACACCGAAACGGGCGTCAAGCGCTACGAGTGGATCTTCGGCGACGAGTACCTGAGCACCGGCGGCCTGCAGACGACCAAGGAGATCGTCCCCCGGCTGGAGCTGAAGCCCGGCCAGCGCGTCCTGGACATCGGCTCCGGCCTCGGTGGCCACGACTTCTACATGGCCGCCGAGTACGGCGTCTACATCGACGCCGTCGACCTGAGCAAGAACATGATGGACATAGCGATGGCCTACCACGCCCAGAAACCGGCCATCAAGGACCGCATCAACTTCCGCCTCTGCGACGTCATGACCACCGACTTTCCCGAGGCCTACTACGACGTGGTGTACAGCCGCGATGCGCTGCTGCACATCAAGGACAAGCCCGCCCTCTTCGCCAAGTTCTTCAAGTGGCTGAAGCCTGGTGGGCGTGTCGTCTTCACCGACTACATTCGAGGCGATGGGCAGCTCAGTGAGGAGTTCCTCGAGTACATGCGCCAGCGGGATTACACGCTCTTCACCCGCCAGCAGTACCTGGACTGCTTCAAGGGAGCCGGCTTTGAGCGGATTGTCGTGGATGAGATCAAGGACAAGTTTGTGGCCTCGTTGCAGAGGGAGCTGAAGCAGCTGCGCGATGGGCGAGCCGACTTTCTGAGCAAGTTCAGCCAGAAGGACTACGATGACCTGGAGCAGGGCTGGCTGGCGAAGATTAAGCGAGCGGCGGATAATGACCAGTCGTGGGTGCTGGCCGCAGGGTTTAAGCCTGCCAACTGAACGGAAAAAACAGGTTGGAAATGAGTGAAGTGAAGTGAGTGTACGGAGTTTGTGAGCTGAAAGTGATAATAAAAAACTTACCCCGTTAAGTTCGTCAAACCAAAGTTGAACTTTTGCAGCTGGAGGAGAGAGTTTAGCTTGAGGCAGAAAAAGTGCGCAGTTCCTCGTCTTCTTCTTCTTCTTCTTCTCCTCCGCAGGCGAATTCACTTGAAGTGTCACTGACAGCAGCAGGTGATCAAAACACCTTGATTAGGTTATTGCACACTGCTGTTTTGACAGAAAAATTCCCCTCACTCTTCTGTCATTCTTCTTTTTCTTCTTTTTGCATAACTGACCACTAGGGAGAAATTGCTAGCTAAAAAGGCAGATAAGACCATCCCATCGGTGGTGATTCATTTGGAGTTTGGGCATTATTGAAATGAATAAATATCATCAAGTAGTTATAAATAGCAATAGCAGTAATATCAGTGTGTACACACTCTGTCAGCGGACACTAACGGTGTACTACTACACACACAGTAGTGTACAATCTTGCGAACGTGAGGGGGTGAAAGAAAGAAAGAAAATAGAAAGAAGAAAGAAGATATGACAGTATATCACCACCATCCTCTTCATCGATCCTCACCACTACCACCACCACCACGACCACCACCGTCGCTGATGAGCACCTCCCTTATGACCCCGGCCAGCCGCTCCAGGTTGCCCCCGTTGACGCCGGCCATGTTCACCCGGCCATCCTCGCAGAGGTAGACGCTGTGCTCGTTGATCAGCCTCTGGACGGTGGCCGCGCTGAGGCCGGAGTACCAGAAGATGCCGCTGTGCTCCGTCAGGTGGGCCCAGCTTCGGTCGGG